AGCTTAGGCTATCACCTCATTAGTCCGGTCGTGATGGTCAAGTGGATTAAGGCGTCTTGTACATACCAGTTGCGTTGCTTCTGGGAGTATGGGTTCGAGTCACTTCTGGGGTGTGAGTTTTCAGTTGCATATTGTCCTGGGGACCATTCAGGCTTGTTCGCATTTGTGTTCCTCACGTGTGCCCCAAAGAATGAGGTGATTTGGTAAAATGCTATGCCCAAGATTACTATCCGAGTGCCGGCGGTGGGGTGGTTCAAATAGCTTAGGCTATCACCTCATTAGTCCGGTCGTGATGGTCAAGTGGATTAAGGCGTCTTGTACATACCAGTTGCGTTGCTTCTGGGAGTATGGGTTCGAGTCACTTCTGGGGTGTGAGTTTTCAGTTGCATATTGTCCTGGGGACCATTCAGGCTTGTTCGCATAAATAAACTGAAAACTCACACCCCAGAAGTGACTCGAACCCATACTCCCAGGAGCAACGCAACTGGTAACTACAGGATGCCTTAATCCGCTTGACCATCACGACCAAGGTGAGGTGATTTGATAAAATGCTATGCCCAAGATTACCATCCAAGTGCTGGCGGGGAAGTGGTTCAAATAGCTTTGGCTATCATTTCCTTATGTTCGGTCGTGATGGTCAAGCAGATTAAGGCGTCCTGTAGTTACCAGTTGCGTTGCTCCTGGGAGTATGGGTTCAAGTCACTTCTGGGGTGTGTTTTCAGTCGCATATAGTCCTGGGGACCATTCAGGCTTGTTCACACACACACACATATATATATATATATATATATATATATATATATATATATATATATATATATATATATATATATATATATATATATTATATATATATGTCGTACCTAGTAGCCAGAACGCACTTCTCAGCCTACTATGCAAGGCCCAATTTGCCTAATAAGCCAAGTTTTCATGAATTAATTGTTTTTCGACTACCTAACCTACCCTAACTTTTTCGGCTACCTAACCTAACCTATGAAGATAGGTTAGGTTAAGTAGGGTTGGTTAGGTTCGGTCATATATCTACGTCAATTTTAACTCCAATAAAAAAAAATTGACCTCATACATAATGAAATGGGTAGCTTTATCATTTCATAAGCAAAAAATTCGAGAATATATTAATTCATGAAAACTTGGCTTATTAATCAAATCGGGCCTTGCGTAGTAGGCTGAGAAGTGCTTTCTGGCTATTAGGTACGACATATATATATATATATATATATATATATATATATATATATATATATATATATATATATATATATATATATATATATATAGGCAGGTGTCAATGCCTGGTCACACTTAAAACAAAAAGATAGACTGCTTGCCTGTTGTCTGTGGTAAGTGAGAGGGAGGAACACGTAAAACACAAAGTATGAACAATGAAACTTTAATATATTTACTTTAAACATAAATGAAAATAAAGACAAATCTCGGGGAATGATAAGTACAATTAAAGAACAAAGATAAATGCAAAGACAATGTGAGACACAATAGTATAAAGGTGAAATATTAAAATGGTGCTGAGAATATCGGCTGTGGCTGAGACCTCCCTTCGTATACAAGGGAGTGAGCTTAGTATGCCAGAGAGAGATGTCAACTCTTAGAGCACTAGGATATTCTGAAGTCCACAGCTCGTGTGTGGCTATTTATATGCTGTCCACCAATCGGGAAGAGCGCTGGCTTGGAGTGGTAGTTTGGTTGTTGACGACGGTGGCGAGCCGGCAGGAGGGAGTGTGGAGTGGAGCGAGTTTAGAGGTACGTTTTACCCCCTGGTCAAAACGTTTTGTGCTACTGGTATACGTATCTTGAAGGTAGCATCTTATTGTTGTATATATATGAGTAACTTTACGTAGGGAAGAGCAGGCTCAATCTCTCTTGAAAGAGATTACCGTCAAAATATCTATATATATATATATATATATATATATATATATATATATATATATATATATATATATATATATATATATATATATATATATATGTCGTACCTAATAGCCAGAACTCACTTCTTGGCCTACTATGCATGGCTCGATTTGCCTAATAAGCCAAGTTTTCATGAATTAATGTTTTTTTCGACTACCTAACCTACCTAACCTAACCTAACCTAACTTTTTCCGCTACCTAACCCAACCTAACCTATAAAGATAGGTTAGGTTAGGTTAGGTAGGGTTGGTTAGGTTTTATCATATATCTACGTTAATTTTAACTCTAATAAAAAAAAATTGACCTCATACATAATGAAATGGGTAGCTTTATCATTTCATAGGAAAAAAATTAGGGAAAATATATTAATTCAGGAAAACTTGGCTTATTAGGCAAATCGGGCCTTGCATAGTAGGCTGAGAATTGCGTTCTGGCTACTAGGTACGACATATATATATATATATATATATATATTGGTAGCAGTCTTTCTTGTAAACATATATTATTAAATATGACCGAAAAAAGTAAGATTAATAATTCTAACACGAATTTTCTCAATATTTCTTATGTTTCTTTTCTTTTCACTGTCGATGGTAATTGAAAAATCAATTCTCCAAAATTCATTTTTATTTCTAGTCTGACGCGACACTTGAACACGTTTCGTAATAACTTATTACATTTTCAAAGACTTTAGTTTACACACACACAACTATAACCTGCAAGCACTAAACAGAGTTCTACTATGCTATAATTTAAACAGCTTTCATCTTATATACTCGCATTTGGGTGAGATGATATGTTACAGCAGTTTTGGATGAGGTGAACAAAACTTTCAACACAAGACAGAACATGAAACAATGGGTATAAATTGGGTAAATTAAAGGGAAGAATAGAAGTAACTGCAAAGGGCCTATTGGCCCATATTTCTTGATGCTTCTATATTGGTGCGGAGTCTTGAAGTGGGTAGAATATAGTTGTGCATTAATTGGCTGTTGATTGCTGGTGTTGACTTCTTGATGTGTAGTGCCTCGCAGATGTCAAGCCGCCTGCTATCGCTGTATCTATCGATGATTTCTGTGTTGTTTGTTAAAATTTCTCTGGTGATGGTCTGGTTGTGGGAAGAGATTATATGTTCCTTAATGGAGCCCTGTTGCTTATGCATCATTAATCGCCTGGAAAGAGATGTTGTTGTCTTGCCTATATACTGAATTCTTTGAGGCTTACAGTCCCCAAGTGGGCATTTGAAGACATAGACGACGTTGGTCTCTTTTAATGCGTTCTGCTTTGTGTCTGGAGAGTTTTTCATGAGTAGGCTGGCCGTTTTTTTGGTTTTATAGTAAATCGTCAATTGTATTTTCTGATTTTTGTCTGTAGGGATAACGTTTCTATCAACAATACCTTTCAGAACCCTTTCCTCCATTTTATGAGCTGTGGAAAAGAAGTTCCTGTAAAATAGTCTAATAGGGGGTAAAGGTGTTGTGTTAGTTGTCTCTTCAGAGGTTGCATGTCGTTTCACCTTCCTTCTTATGATGTCTTCAACGAAACCATTGGAGAAGCCATTGTTGACTAGGACCTGCCTTACCCTACAGAGTTCTTCATCGACTTGCTTCCATCCTGAGCTGTGGCTGAGAGCATGGTCGACATAAGCGTTAACAACACTCCTCTTGTACCTGTCTGGGCAGTCACTGTTGGCATTGAGGCACATTCCTATGTTTGTTTCCTTAGTGTAGACTGCAGTGTGGAAACCTCCGCTCCTTTCCATGACTTACATCTAGAAAGGGCAGCTTCCCATCCTTCTCCATCTCATAAGTGAAATGCAACACAGAATTCCGCTCAAATGCTTCTTTCAGCTCCTGCAGATGTTTGACATCAGGTACCTGTGTAAAAATGTCATCAACATACCTGCAGTATATGGCCGGTTTCAAGTTCATGTCGACTAAGACCTTCTGTTGGATGGTACCCATGTAGAAGTTCGCTAACAGGACACCTAGGGGAGAACCCATGGCGACCCCATTTACTTGCTTATACATGTGCCCATCCGGCCTCAAGAAGGGTGCCTCTTTAGTACAAGCTTGGAGTAGTTTCCTTAGAATGTTTTCTGGTATGTCAAGAGGAGTACAGGCCGGATCACGATACACTCTGTCCGCTATCATCCCGATTGTTTCATCCACAGGTACGTTGGTAAACAGTGATTCTACGTGCAACGAGGCTCTTATCCCTGCGGCCTGTGTTCCCGCAGTAAGTCAACAAATTCCTTTGGAGACTTCAGGCTGAAGGCGCAAGGGACAAAAGGGGTCAGCAAGCCGTTGAGTCGCTTTGCCAGTCTGTACGTGGGTATGGGTATCTGGCTGATGATTGGCCAAAGTGGGTTTCCAGGCTTGTGTGTCTTGACCTTTCCATACGCATACCCAGGTTTGTATTCCCCAATAATCTTTAGCAAGTGGAGTCCGGATTTCTTGGCGTTCACAGTTTCGATCAATCTGTTAACCTTTGCTTTTAATTCGGCTGTAGTGTCCTTCGTTACCTTTTGGAATTTAGTTTGGTCAGAGAGTATGAGGTTCATTTTCGCCAGATATTCGTCTTTTTTAAGAATGACGTATATTGGCGACTTGTCACCTCTCCTGACGACTATCTCCTTGTTCTCACGAAGGCTCTTAGCTGCCGCTTTGAGCTCGGGGGACAGTATGGTGCTTCTGTAGTTGCCTCGAATCTTTCTTCCTTCTGCAATAAGTTCTGCTTGTAAGATGTCTTTGGTGGTGACTTTTGTGTCTCGAGGTCGAATGTGTCGTCCAACAGGATCTCCAACTCCATTTTCCGTCTGAAGGAGAACCTGCTGCCAATATACACAAATATTCTGCATACACAAAGATAGAAACCATCCCCCCCCCCTCACTATCCGCGTGCATTCTTACATAACTGTGTATCGAAAGCCTGAGTTAATCTTGGGAAATAACATGCATGTGTCAGCAGATCTTATCCCCGCTATCTTATTTATCAGACCAGTGATGGAATGAGTTGAAGGTCGTGTGGCGGGTGTTTTGTGTGGCTGATAGCGAACCTTGCCCCGTGTAGTCTGCGGCTGTCTCTCTACCGGGCTGGAGCACCTAAGGTCGCTACCTCTCACAGCCTCTCTCATCCTGAAGGTGTCTGCTCTCTTACCGTCAGGGCGTGCCATGCTTCGAGGACCTCATCTGATTGACTCTGTTGACATCTCCTCTCACTGTGAAGGCATCTCTCACCAACAACATTCGAGCCCTAGTTTGAGAGAACACACAAGCGTGCCACGTACATGAACGATCCGGGTATTACACTGTGGTTCCACTTGAGACACTCCTGTACAGTCCGGATTGTTCCCCATGAGGAGGTGAGTGTGTTGTCAGGAGTTCCACGCTGACGTCACCAAGCTCAGGGCGGATGACGGCTCCAGATCCCAGATAACAGTAAAGATGATCTGCTGATTCACCAATTCGAAAGGAATTTTCGCTTACCACAAAGAGACCGCAGCTCTAAGAAGTAGAGAGCTGTAGCACTGACCTTGACTCTAGAAGACATGATAGCTACAAACCTACAAGAATCTCGGCTACAGAAGTAACTGAAAAGCAACAACAAGTGAGAAGTAGATAGAGAAACAGAGAGAGACAGAGAGACAGAAACAGAGCGACTGCCACCATTTCCTACACGACAAGTATTGTGTCACCTCAAGCACCAACATATTGCCTCTCGTCCGTGCCTGACTTCTGGGAGACGACAAAACATATATACAAAATATTCGAGCAGTGAAGATCAAGCTCCACCGTCACCATGGACCACAAGGTGAGTACCAGAGGCCGGCCCTTATAGCCACCTGACCACATCCATAACCCAGCGGGTTTTCTTCCTATTGGGGAGTGTTGTACATGCTGCTATGGCGGTGTGTCCACTCACAAGATGATTGACGCTGCCCAATACTGTCACTATGGCGGTGTGTCCACTCACAGGATGATTGACGCTGCCTAATACTGTCACTATGGCGGTGTGTCCACTCACAGGATGAGTGGCGCTGCCCAATACTGTCACTATGGCGGTGTGTTCACTCACAGGATGAGTGGCGCTGCCCAATACTGTCACTATGGCGGTGTGTCCACTCACAGGATGAGTGACGCTGCCCAATACTGTCACTATGGCGGTGTGTCCACTCACAGGATGAGTGACGCTGCCCAATACTGTCACTATGGCGGTGTGTCCACTCACAGGATGAGTGGCGCTGCCCAATACTGTCACTATGGCGGTGTGTCCACTCACAGGATGAGTGACGCTGCCCAATACTGTCACTATGGCGGTGTGTCCACTCACAGGATGAGTGGCGCTGCCCAATACTGCCACTATGGCGGTGTGTCCACTCACAGGATGAGTGGCGCTGCCCAATACTGTCACTATGGCGGTGTGTTCACTCACAGGATGAGTGGCGCTGCCCAATACTGTCACTATGGCGGTGTGTCCACTCACAGGATAAGTGGCGCTGCCCAATACTGTCACTATGGCGGTGAGTCAACTCATGTGATGAGTGACGCTGCCCAGTACTGTCACTATGGCGGTGTGTCCACTCACAGGATGAGTGACGCTGCCCAATAAACTCGCCCCTCGGGGCAATTAAGAAAAAAACACATTCCTGGCCACCAGAGGATGTGGGTACCCGCTGTATATGTGTACACCACTCGTAGACCATATATAGGAAAAGTGACCATGATGCATGAACATACAGTAGGTCTCTCTCTCTCTCTCTCTCTCTCTCTCTCTCTCTCTCTCTCTCTCTCTCTCTCTCTCTCTCTCTCTCTCTCTCTCTCTCTCTCTCTCTCTCTCTCTCTCTCTCTCTCTCTCTCTCTCTCTCTCTCTCTCTCTCTCTCTCTCTCTCTCTCTCTCTCTCTCTCTCTCTCTCTCTCTCTCTCTCTCTCTCTCTCTCTCTCTCTCTCTCTCTCTCTCCCCCCCCCCCTCTCTCTCTCTCTCTCTCTCTCTCTCTCTCTCTCTCTCTCTCTCTCTCTCTCTCTCTCTCTCTCTCTCTCTCTCTCTCTCTCTCTCTCAAATTCTCTAACCTTTTCATCATATTTCACCCCATCACAGTTCCTGAACCTTTAAGTGCTAACGATTCTGTTATACAAGGTAGCGAGTAATTACCTAATTGTAACAACTAATTCGTGATAAGCCAATAGCAGCACATTTCACCCTTGGCTAGCTTTTATTTAATGGTTTTCCTTAGACAAGCAGTTACTAACCATTACTCAGACCTTAATGACCTTGTTTCCTACAGAATGGGGTGATTATCAGGCCTGTTCCGGGCACCATAACACCAGCTGTGGACACTAAGGTAAGTAACCTGAGGGGCCAGATTCACGAAGCAGTTACGCAAGCACTTACAAACCTGGGGGCAGATTCACGAAGTAGTTACGCAAGCACTTACAAACCTGGGGGCAGATTCACGAAGTAGTTACGCAAGCACTTACAAACCTGGGGGCAGATTCACGAAGCAGTTACACAAGCACTTACAAAGCTGGGGTCAGATTCACGAAGCAGTTACGCAAGCACTTACGAACCTGGGGTCAGATTCACGAAGCAGTTACGCAAGCACTTACGAACGTGGGGTCAGATTCACAAAGCAGTTACGCAAGCACTTACGAACGTGGGGTCAGATTCACGAAGCAGTTACGCAAGCACTTACAAACCTGGGGTCAGATTCACGAAGCAGTTACACAAGCACTTATGAACCTGGGGTCTGATTCACGACGCAGTTACACAAGCACTTACGAACCCGGGAACCATATTCACGAAGCAGTTATACAAGCACTTACGAACCTGGGGCCAGATTCACGAAGCGGTTACACAAGAACTTACGAACCTGGGTCCAGATTCACGAAGCAGTTACGCATGCAAGCACTTACGAACCGGGGGGGGGCCAGATTCACGAAGCGGTTACGTACAACCTGTACATCTTTTCTCAATCTTTGGCGGCTTTGTTTACAATTATTAAACAGTTAATGAGCTCCGAAGCACCAGGAGGCTGTTTATAACAATAACAACAGTTGATTGGGAAGTTTTCATGCTTGTAAACTGTTCAATAAATGTAATTAAAGCCGTCAAAGATTGGGGACAGATATACACGTTCATAAGTTTAACTGAACTTAAAAAAAAGTTCCGCTTCTTGAATCTGGCTCCAGGACCAGCTGGAGGCATCAGGCATGTACATATCCACTGACGAAACCCGTGCATCTTTCTTCCATCGTGGCGGCTGCGTTTACATATATACAACAGTTTCTAAGAAGAGAAGCCTCTCAAGGGTCTCTATAACAACAATAACCTTGGCTTTTGAACTTTCCTCACTTGTAAACTGTTTACATTATGTAAACAAGGTCATTATGATTAAGGAAAGGTCTCGTTAAATGGTTGAGTACATGCTTGACAAATCTTAACTCATATCTATAATTCCATATTTGCATTCTGATAATGCTGTGGACATTGCTACAAGGGTTCGAACATGGGGCGTCGAGGGGCGGGGCCGGGGGGCGGGGCCGGGGGGCGGGGCCGGGGGGCGGGGGGGGGGGGGGGAGTTCGCCTACTCTCCCAGGTCGGGAGAGACGTTTGAGCTAGTAACTTAGTATAACACTTAGTAACTCAGTTCACCTGGCAGTAAATAATGACCTGAGAGTTAGGAAACTGTAGTGGGCTGCGTCAGGTGAAGAGCAGTTGTTGGCCACCGGGAACTTGATAAGCACAATAGGCTTCGTATCTCCCAGCAATTTTAAACTTGTCGATGATCTCAGACCACTTATTGACAAGGGAATCCCCGACCGTACAAGTGGTTGGGCACCATTCCTTTCCCTCCGTCCCATCCCAAATCTTTATCCAGACCCCTTCCAAGTGTTATAATGTCGGAATGGCTTGGCGGTTTCCGCTGATAATTAAAAAAAATATTGAGAAGGGGGAATGTGACACACAAGGGGCAACAGTTTTAAGTTCAACAAGCCACAATATAACACACACAAGGGGCAACAGCTTCAAGTTCAACAAGCCATAATGTAGGACAGGAAACAGGAGATGCTTTCTCACCCACAGGGTTATAAACCCATGGAACCACCTACCCGCCCAAGCCGTAAATGTTACGGTTTGAGTGTGTGTGTGAAACCCTTGACAAGCCGCCGGTTTCTTGCCCCTTTGGAGGCCGCTAGAGCTGGCGGCCCTCATGGCTTCTTCGTATCCCCGACGAGACCACTAGAGAGACAGCGGCCCCTCAGGTAAATACGGGTGTCACCAAGGGAACAAGACAGTGGCAACACTCCACCACTGTTGCCACAACAGATAACGCGGGAACAATGGGTTACACAGCTGCTTATCGTTTTAAATATTCACGAATTAAAAAAGTAGTAAAAATAGATTAAATTAGGAAATTAAATTAGGAAAACAAACTTGAAATTGTTAAGCAAATATTGCTTTGCTCTTTTTGAATATTACAAATAATCCCAGTGTCAGGAAAATACACATTACTGCCAACAAAACCAAAACAACTAACATAACCTATCCTTGGACTAACTAGCCTAACTTATTCATATCTAAATATCCTAACTTATCTTCGTCATCCTATCCTAACTAACCTTAATTACCATCCTATCTTATCGTCATCACCCCTAGCCTAGCTTATCCTAACCATTTTAGTCCAACTTATACTAAACCATCCTATCCTACCCATGTTATCCTAACTTACCTTCACCACCCTATCCTAGCTTAACTAAAACATCATATCCTAACTTATCCTCATGCACCAACCTATCCTAACAGTAGTAGGGATGGCGGTGTATGGGCCCTCTTTCTTCGGGAAAAAGAGCCGCTACGCCCCCACCAGATTCAACGAACTTTGGAAAAAGGGCCGATATGCTCTTAAAGGTTTCTTATGGGGAAAATTCATTTTTTTTCAGTTCTTGCTGACAATAAACTTTATAATCACAGAAAAAATGGAGAAACTGGTGAAAAATATGAACTGAACATGCTGTGAACATTTTGCAGAACACGGAGTGAATACAGAAAACACGGAAGAAAATGTGAAGAGCATAGAGAATATAGAGAAAATATACAAATACATTAGGATTATTAAAGGTTTGGTTATGTTGGGAATGGGCGAGATGAAAGAGAGATAAGGGATGTGAAAGTAAGGGGGGAAAGGGTAAGGTGTGATTTTTGACCGTGTGATTAATACATAGCTGAATGAACAAAGGGTATTGAAGGTAAGGTGTGATTTTGACCGTGTGAATATTAGCACGTTAGTGATTATTTACATTGCCGAGTACAAAAAGGGTATTAACGAACATGATGTCTACTTTTGATAGACTGGAGAGGGACTTGATCTGAAATAATTTGATAAACTAAAATCGGAGGACAGGAATTGGAGCTCTGTTATTGTCCTGATTTATTTTACTACGTTTGAAATATGACTGTTTAAAATTTCAGGAAAATAGGACTGCTAGTATTGAATCTACGAGAGAGAACTAAGGCTGAGAACGAGAGCTGGAGCTCGGTAATTGTTCGGAACTATTTTACTATGTCTGAAATACAGCAGTTATAAATTTCAGGGAAATTGGTCTGTTACTAAAGAACTTGTACAAATGAACTAAGGTGGGGGACATGAGCTGGAGCTCAGTAACTGACTTGATCTTATTTACTGTGTCTGAAATACAGAGGGTATAAATTTCAGGGAAATTGATTAGGTATTAACGAAGATACGAGAGGGAACTAAGGCTGAGGACAGGAGCTAGAGTTCAGTAATTGTTTGTATTTACTGAACTATATCTGAAATACAGCGGGTATAAGTTTTAGGGACATTGATAGGATATTAACGAAGATACGATAGTGGGTTATGGCGGAGACAGGAGCTAGAACTCGGTAATTGTTCGGATCTTATTTACTACGTCTGAAATATGACTGTTTAAAATTGGGCTATTAGTAGCAAAAATGCTGTCTCTGTCAAATTTGGGTCTTCAATTGGACTCTGATTAATTTTGGTCATGAACTGGACTCTTATGAAATTTGAGCTTAAATTGGACTCCACGAATTTTGCTCACAAAGTGGACTCTGAATAATTTAGGTCATCAACTGGACTCTGATTAATTTTGGGCATAAACTAGACTCTGGCTAATTTTCAATCTTTACTGGACTCTGTCGATTTTGGGCATAAATTAGTCTCTGACGAATTCTGTCTACAACTGGACTCTGATGAATTTTTGGCATGAACTGGTCTGTGACTAAATTTCGGTCTTTACTGGACTCTGTCGATTTTGGGCATAAATTGGTCTCTGACTAATTTTCTGTCGTTAATTGAACTCTGATTATTTTTGGGTATAAACTGGTCTCTGACTAATTTTCGGTCTTTACAGGTGAAACAGCCGTAAATGCATATAAAAACTAAAACTTGCTGTTAAGATGTCTGTTTTCCTTATTCTCAGTTATACGAAAGCTAGCTTTATTCTGACTTTTTATAACAAACTTCTATGAAATTATTTTCTCATAAGAACTCTTAACAAACTTTTATGAATAGTTATCTGAAAATGGTCTTTGAAAAAATCCGCGGGTTTGAAAACATACAAAAATTGACCGTAGAGTTTATTATCAGTAAGAACTGAACCTATTTGAATTTTCTCCATAAGAAAACTTCAAGAGCATATCGGCCCTTTTTCGCAAGTTCGTTGAATCTGGTGGGGCGAAGCGGCCCTTTTTCCTGAAAAAAGGGCCCATATGCCGCCATCCCTATACTCCTAACTTACCCTAAACCATCCTTTCCTAACTTATCCCCACCTCCCTATCCTAACCTAACCAAACCATCGTATCCTAAATTATCCTACATTTTCCGCAGCAGAAAGGTTTTGAAACCATGTATTCCCGTATCCACCAGGAGCAGGATGGGTGGCCTGGACCTACTTTACAGGAAAGGGGCCTTCAGAGCTCCGTCAACACAATCTATGTCCCGACAGAAAGGGACATGAATGGTACCATGAGGACCCCCAGCTCCGGCCACGTCCTTGATGAAGAAGCCATCGAAAAGCCAATTTCGTGAGTATAGGACATCGAAAAGTGTAATATTGTGAGTATAGGACATCGAAAAGTGTAATATTGTGAGTATAAGACATCGAAAAGTGTAATATTGTGAGTATAAGACATCGAAAAGTGTAATATTGTGAGTATAGGACATCGAAAAGGGTAATTTCGTGAGTAAAAAGACAGCAAGAAGCCTATTCAGTTAAGGACATCTAAAAGATTACATCTTGAGAGTAAGAAATCGAAAAGGCTAAATTTTGGGAGTAGAGAACATAGAAAAGCCTAATTTCTTGAGTTCAGGATATCTTAAAGCCTAATTTCTTGAGTTCAGGATATCTTAAAGCCTAATTTCTTGAGTTCAGGATATCTTAAAGTCTAATTTTTTGAGTTCAGGATATCTTAAAGCCTAATTTCTTGAGTTCAGGATATCCTAAAGCCTAATTGCTTGAGTTCAGGATATCTTAAAACCTAATTTCTTGAGTTCAAGATATCTTAAAGCCTAATTTCTTGAGTTCAGGATATTTTAAAGCCTAATTCCGTGAATACAGAAACATGTTGTCCCTCCACGATCAAGCTGGTGATCTTGCTTGATCTTATTTTATGCTTTACACAATGACCTCATAACGCCGCATCTTATCTATGAGAAAATTCTCGAGTTTATATAAGAACTCGAACCCTTGACCGTGTTACCCAAGTCCATGACACGAGTTCGAACACGCACCCAAAACGACTAACGTGTTTGTTCTGGGCAAATTACTGTATAGTAATCAATGATTAATGGACTCAATAGTAATCAATGATTAATGGACTCTGTAATGGCCTGTGATGCAGCTCACCTGAAGAAAACAAATCAAAACTAGCAAAAGTCCAAAGATAGGCATCAAGACTGGTTCCAGGGCTGAGGGGGCTGAGCTACGAGGAAAGCCTGAGGGAACTGGATCTCACCACACTCGAGATGAAAAGAGGTAGAGGGGATATGATAACGACATATTAGATTCTAAGGGGAATTGACAATGTAAATCAAAGCTACAGACAGCAGACTGAAGGGACACAGTCTTGTAGTACACAAAGTATTTGTTCCATTGTTAGTTGAAGTTAAAACACCCACCCACCCACACACACACACACACTAGAGGAGCGCCAGGAGGCAGGAGTCACACTGCAACAGGCTCCAGGAATATCCAGTTACCTAAGTATTAGGAACAGGTTGAGGGCTGTAAGTGGTATCCCAGGATACATGAAGGTGTAGGCAAGTTGAGAAGTGACTAAGACACAAGAAATAAGCAAGAAAGAGAGTGAAAATTCTGTGTTGGAAAGGTATATATATATTCCAGTACATAATAACGTCAAAAACTAAGATGGCTGCCACCAAGGGGGTAGAAACCACACCAACATATGATTGTCTCAAGGGATTCTCACACTGAAGATATCATGAAAGGAGGTTTTCTTGGCAGGTGAGAGGACTCAACTACCAAGCGAGACAGGTTGAGGACCTTCTAAAGCAGTATGAAGAAAAGTAATTGAATTTGAACAAGAAAATGAAGGTTTCAAGATTTAGTTTTGTAACTTAAAAGGAAGTATTTTTCAGGAAAGGTTAGGAAATGACCAGCTTGACTGATAAGGTAAGGATACTGGAGGATCAGATCAAGGAACTAGTGAAAGATAATGAGCCATGGAAAGTGAAGAGTGGTGAATTTGAAAAAAATGAACAAGAAAATAGACTCATGGTGAACAACTCCACGGTATCCTGAGGACTAACATGGAGTTTGGCGAAGATATGTTAAGAGAAACTTGATTCACAACTCAAATAGAGAAGTTAATAAAGAACTAGAAAAGTACAACGAGAAAATAAAATAAACATATGCGCAAATTATAAAAGAGAAAGAGACGATAAAGGAAATGTGTTTGGAAGTCAAAGCCAGAAATGACCAACAAGAAGCAGACATTAAACAAGCAAGTACGAAAGAACTGGTAACCAACAGTAAACTAGTACAAAATACTGCAGATACAAAAAAGTCCATAATAATTTTCGGATGTTTAGAGAAGGAAATATCATCTAGGTTGTACAGAGCAGCAGAATTATAAAAGAGATAAAATCATTAAGGAAATAGTAGCTTTTGGAGAAGGCCTCACTTCAAAGGAAAGTGTCAGTGATTTTAGGAGGGAACATATGAGAAAAACAAGAATCGCCTCCTAAGGGTGACTTTTAATGAAGTAAAACAAATGACGGAAGTGCATAGAACTACCAGGAAATTGCAGTGATGAGAATTTCCAACTTTGGTCATTAGGACAAGACCTCTCAAAGGAAGACAGAAAAAAGTTGAAACTAAACCTGGATGAAGCGAAACACAACTTACAAATTATGTGGAAAGGAATTACAAAACTCTAAAAAAGAACGAGACCTAGGGGTGATTTTGGATAGTAAGTTGTCGCCAGAGGAACACAAAGAACATTGTGAGAGGAGCGTATGCGTCGCTTTCCAACTTCAGAATTGCTTTTAATTATATGTATGGTGAAATACTAATGAAACTGTTCATGGCTTTTGTAAGACCAAAATTGGAAAATGCCACATTTGTATGGTGCCTAAATCTAAAGAAGCACATCAATAAACTGGAAAAGGTGCAACGGCATGCTATAAAATGAGTTCCGGAACTGAAAAACAAAAGTTACGAGGAGAGACCAGAGGCATTAAATATGCCAAAACTAGAAGATAGAAGAAAAAGAGGTGATATGATCACCACTTACAAAGTAATAAGAGGAATTGACAAAGAGGAATTCCTGAAACTAGTAACATCACGAACAAGAGGACACAGATTCAAGCTAAGGAAACAAAGGTGCCAAAAAAATATTAGGAAGTTTTCTTTCACGGAGTGGTAGACGGTTGGAACAAGTTAAGTGAGAAGGTGGTGGAGGCCAAAACCGTCAGTAGTTTCAAAGCGTTATACAATAAAGAGTACTGGGAAAACGGGACACCATGAGTTTAGCTCTCATCCTGTAACTACACTTAGGTAATTACACACTAATAACCCTACCTTCATCATACAGGAACTGCGAGACGATGATCCACGTGCTGAAGGGTAATGTGGGCACAGGACTGTTGGCAATGCCAGAAGCCTTCATGAACGCTGGGCTCTGGGTGGGCTTCGCGGGCATCCCTATCATGGGCATCATCTGTATTCACTGCATGAATATCCTGGTGAGTTCTGGGTCCCAGTTGGCTTTGTTCGTTTTTACCACAATTGAAGCTGGTGGAGGTGAGATATATCGCCTTATAGTTTAAAACATCCTTTCTATAGACAGCTTGCTTCGACGGCATGTAAACATTAATGTTGTCAAATTCTACCTCCAAACATATATATATATTGTTAAAAATTTTCCCGAGGGGCAAGTTTAGCTTGTGGTAACATTGAAACTGTGGGGACCAAACACAGCTTGAGGTCAATGTAAACTTTCAGTAATGTATAGAAAGGCTAATGATAACCTTATGAATATCTTTGACCAGGTGATTACTACTCACACTTTTAAGTAAGACTACTGCAAAACTAAACCTTCTGTCTCTTTTGTTATGTAAATTTTAGGAAACTTGTAGAGCTAGTTATCTGCTTCATTATTATGTATAATATTTTTTTATTTGTTACTTATTTATGGTGTATATACATATTTTGATTGCACATATTCAAAAGTGGGTGAATAAATGCTTCTCAAGTTAGACTTAACGAGTCCTGGTCAGGCAATGTTTGCTCTTGCTAGATGGTCAACAATTGATTAAAGACCACTTTAATAAATGGTAGTACGCATAGCAGCTGTAGATGGTATGTACAAAATATGGACTGTTGTATCCAAATACAGTAATGTTTTGTGCTGTTAATTTTCTAGAGGACTTGAGAAAGTAGTTAACCAAACCTAACCGTTCCAACGTCTAGAATAGTACATAAGTTGGCCCTAAAATTTAGTATACGTGGATTAGGACTGTTTATTTGGGTTCTGAAGATGTTAGGGGATCAGGTTTTGCTTATATTATAATTTTAGCCATTAACTATACATATTAATCATTAATAATTTATCCTATACACTTTTAACATGCTAATGAAATTTTAATTAATATTAGGAGTTTGAACAGCGAATTATCCAGCTAGACTTACAGTCAACTTAATCTGTTACCGTAGAGCAGAGTGAGTCAACTCTCCCCTCATTTTCAATCAAGATTCAGTGGTTTCCAGTTTTTAGTAGAAGCTTTGCGATTTAAATCAGTTTATATAAAATTCATTAAGATGAAAAAAAATAACAGTTAATAGTTAATTTGTAAAAAATACTGCGGTGTTATTTTATACTTGTATAATCCTGTAAAATATGTTTACTCATTACTAAATGCTTTATATTTCAATATGTAGCCCCAGGTCTATTTCTAAATTACTGCCAAAAAAATCCACTTACCCTTATAAAAATCAACTTGTTCAAATCAATTGTGGTTGGGTCACCAAGATTGTACTTCTCTCTACCTCGTCTCTAGTTCCTCGCTCAAGCCTTCTGCCACCTCGCCCATCTATTACATTCCCTGCTTACCTGCTCCTTGGACATTATCAAGTGGTTCTGTACCATATACTTTAAAAAGAGTGAATTTTTTGTCGATAAATAACAATGTTCTTGACTTCAACAGAAGCGCACTTACACAGAGCATTTCCCTATTGATGATTCAAGGTGTTTGCTAGTCAAGTACTGAGTGAACAGTGTGCGGCTGATGCTGGAATTAGTACCACTATGACTTTGAAATTGAAGTCGTGCTCCTCGGAGTCTACCGTCGAACAGAAAAGGAAATCGCTGCAGCCCTTGTGAGAGCAACTACTTAGTCCTGTAAATGTCACTAAGTCGCAGTTCAATTGTCCTGTTCTGAGTATGGCACTGTGGACATGAAAACTGAACTTCGACTTAATAATTATATTTCATTCACACAAGCTGAACTGCAGGCCATCCTGGCTGGTTTGGATTTTCAAGACGATAAAGATGTTTTCGTATTTGTCGATAGCCAAAAAGCACTTGATTCCTTAAACAGTCAAAATCCTATCTCCATGTCCATAGTTGAGGATTGTAATAAAATTATAAATCAGATACAGCTGAAAGGTCACAAAGTAAATTTCACGTGGATTCCATCTCGTATTTGAATAGTGCGCAACAAGGTGGCGGATGACTTGGCCAAACGCGCCACATAAGAACAAAAGTTGACATTGCATAGACATTGACATTCCAATAAGACAAATAAGAAGCAAAATCAGAAATATTCAGGCACAGGCAGAAGTTGAGAGGAGAGGTATAATGTATGAGAGAAGTCAAACCATGCAACACTACATGTATGTGAGTCAAAACACCCATTTCACTTATGGTAAAAGGAGAAATGCTTGGAGTGACTCTGTGCACATGTGGCTCAGGCTTGGGTACAAATATTAACGGGAATATGGAATAGTTGCTAATGATAATAACACGAAGTGTAAACTAAGTGGTATGTTAAGGTCTCACACCCTCACCCATTATGTTCTTGATTGTCCGTTAATTAATATATTCACAAACACTGAGATAAGGACTGTTCCTGAACAAAAATCCTGGCAATGTCACAACGGAAAAGTTGATAATATTCTGGAGAGATATTCCGGCTGTGCTCCTACCAGAAGGGGTCCTGAAAAACGTAGCCATGAAGACACGTCAGTGAAGGTACATAATTCATCCTCCACCTTCCCAGCACAAGTGACTGCTGCTCAACCAACTGAGCATGATACACTCGACCTCTCCTCGTCGTCTGATGATGACTCAATCAACGTCACCAATGTATCCACCACCAACCTTACAAGATCAAGAACCCACATCTCAGAACCCGGACTCCATCCAAGGACGCAGATGCACTAGTAGAGGAAACGTACCAAGGAATTTCAGGCGCCCCATAGAACAGACATATTTCCAACATATGCCTCAAAGTGCGTTACCAACAAGGACCCTTGAGAACAAACCCAGACGGAAGTACAGAGTTCCCTAACCCAGAGGAACTCCGAGAAAATGTCGATGTCAAGCTGCTCCAGCCTGACCTCATAGACAAACGATAGTAGGAACTTTACTCAACGGCAGTGTTACTTGCCGCAGCAGGACGACGAGAAGCAGGACACCGAGGAAGACGACACAAATAGAACAGGGGGGGACAGGGAGACAGAGAGAAGGAGACGGAGAGAGAGAGAGAGAGAGAGAGAGGGAGGGGGCCCAACAAGCAGGCTGATGGCACTATGAAGAAGACGAAAGACGACACCACAAGAATGCAGACTGGACTGAGAGCTTGGTGTGAGGGGCGGGGCTTGACTGGTGTCTCCCTGCCTGTGATCACAACCTAAGTTTACTGTCCAGCAGTTGTGTTAAGTCTTGGTTCTTCTCTCTGCGACTACAACGCTTTCTCTCTACTCTATTCTTCAGTTATACCCACTTCTCTTCTCTCCCATTGGGAACTTCTCCTGTATTTATCGCTCGTTCGTTCAGTAGTTGGGGAATTTATTCAGTATCAGCAAACTAGGTTTTTAAAATAATGTTTTCTAACCAAGGAATAAGTAGGAAAACTAAGGATCGTCTCTGTTACCCTCACACCATTCCCTGACCACTGACATTTCTCTCCCGTTGAACCTGTGACTGCTTCTAGGTCACGAGTTCGAAGGAGTTGTGTGGACGGCAGGGGGTGAGGGCCATGAGTTACGAGGAAACAGCGTCCATGGCGTTCAAGCTTGGCCCCGAGGGATGCCGCAGGTGGCACCGGGTCGTGTACTACATCATCACCACCTTCCTCGTCATCACCCAGGTCGGCTTCTGCTGCGTCTACTTCGTCTTCATTCCCCAGAACATCCAGGAGGTAAGGAGAGACTCACAGAGACAGACAGACGTGTAGAGAGACAGCTAGAGATAATCACAGCTACTCATGCAGTTGTCATAGTTGACTCATGTCCTCATTATTCGCACACAATCGAGGGACACGTGTCAGGTACAATCACCGCCACCCACACGATTGTTCTCGATAACGTCATCGTGTCATTTATTGCCCAAGTGACTCTGGGTTTGTGATGATAAGAGCAGTGATATCTCTGCTGGCTCTACTTGATGTAGTTGTGGGAACCGACCTGTGAGATTTATATTTATTTAATTTATATGAATTTATATTTACGTTAATTTATATACTTCGATAGCAATTTGTATAATGATAAGTGGACTGTATTTCTGCAATAATCTCATAATCTCACAAATCGATCCTCTACACATTAGGGGGGGTTTATTAGTTTATATATATGCAGCCAATCAAACTACAGTAATAGCTACATACATTGATGAGGTTCCTTATCTTATAGTACAGCAGGTTAGTCCACCAGGTATAACTAGGGTGTAGACACCAAATTATCCTCTTTGAGGTAGCTTCCATATCACCCAGTAACTGGTGCACAAATCTTCCTTCCTCGTCTTGACCTGTCAAAAGTGCGCTAGCTGTGAAGCCAGAATCCTATATATGACAAGCTATATCAGAGAAAACACTATACATTACATGGAACATGAAGACCTGGCTTAATTACCTTTAGTTTGAGGCGATTTCGCGATCTAACCGGGTCACCCTATATCCTGACATTAATGGCCATAAATGAATGATAAACGGGTTTCGGATAGACTTAACTTGAATTGTAGACATCGTGTTGGAGATGGTACCTTTGGTTTCCATAACACTACGTCCAAATAAAATTAACAGGAGCCGAATTTGCTCCCGTGTGAGCCTCTGGTCTCAATATAAACAATGCTGTTTAACACTCCATTCTATTGACGTTACTGGCCGACATTGTCCAGAATGATAGGAGCCGAATTTGCTCCACACGTCTCGGAGGTGACACAACAATGGCTGCCCTCCTCCTCACTCTGACGCCTGGCTTACATTGTCCACTTGTCAAAAAGTGATAGAAGGGTCACATTTACTCTACTTTAATATTGATAATTAAGTTAATTTATATAAGATGTTTTTATGATGGTAAAGTCCAAAGACTAATGTATTTAAGAATAATTCCCAGCAGAATAGCTGGTGAATTATAATAGTATGTGGTGATGATATCCCGTTTTCTATAGACGGTAATTCCACTACAAGTTACGTTTTCTATGGGTAACTTGTTGGTAATACAGCTATTATCTGTATGATTATTAAATGGTGTCGGATTTTCCGACATAATTCCCCAGGGGGCTGCTCACGGGTCGAAGTCCTATTTAGAACAGACGAACACCGATACTCCTCCTTCGAATTATTAGATTAATTTGATGTTAGTAGTTAGTAATCACACATTTGTGCGTCTGTTCGTACAGGACGGATGTCCCGTACTAGAGTTGCAGGGGTTAGAAGTCTAATGCGAATTCATTTCCCTGTCAACTCTTGAAAGGCTAATATTCAAGCCTAATTACATATTATTTAACCCAGAAGACTGGATGTGATCAAGTACTACAGTCAAGTATGATTCAGGGACTGCAGTGAGATCAGTGACATTAGATATAACTTGAAGTTTCTTCAGGTAACTGGTCACTGATATATAAACACTGAGGCCCATGGAATACATCTTGATTAAATAATAAATGTATCAAATCAGTCATCAGATTTATTGGGGTTTAATTTAGTTAATTGTTTCAGAAGATTGAATAGCTCATCATTAAAGTAAAGTATGGTTCTGAGACTGCAGTGGGTTCAGTGACATTGGTCGCAGTGACTTGTAGCTGTTTAAGCTACTGTTCACTGATTTGCCACTGAGGCCTCATGAACTCATCTTCAGCTTTAAATGATGATACTAACATCAACCTCTGTTACTATAGTCAGCTGTCATCTCCTTAGTATAATGCTACTGGAGAAATATAATCAGCTGACAAATTTAGATTTCTACTTGTATTGTTTATCTGCAGGCATAGGTTTCCTCAGGCTTGATACTGGGCCTGAGAGTAATTTACCTCCTGCAGAGTTTAACATGGTTATACCCTGATATTTAGTAGGGCTACCGATGAATCGATGGCAATAGTCTGTCCCAACAAGGAGACCGAAGTCAGTGAGGTGATCAGACTTAATATTATCTGCCAATTTTATTCCTCTATTTCTCAGGAATTTGGCTGTTGCTCTCAGACCTTGAACTTGTAGGTCTACTGGTATTTTGTCCACCACAATGGCTTGTACTCGACAGATGTACCTGCCTAAACGTACTGATGGTTGTACCACCTGGTAGACTTGAGGTCCTGCATCTGTTACAAACCCTGAGATGTTGAATGACATCTGGGCTACAGGCCTTAATTGTAGTTCATCTGCCAACTTTTTAGTGACATATGTTCTCTGGGATCCTTGGTCAAACAACCCACGGGTATGGACCTTGGCCCTCTTATTCAGGATGGTAATTTGGGCAGTAGGCAAAGTCGTATTACCTTTAGACTTTGCCGATTGGACACTCTTTGTTTGTTGCACCTTGCAGTACTGTACTGTGGTGGGAATGCTATCTTCCACCTTGGGGTTTGGAGACGTTGTTTTGGTGTCTCTGCACAATGCTGCATGGTGTTGACCTTTGTTACACCTATTACAGGTGTGTAATTGGGTATCACAGTCGTTGATGTTATGTTTCCTGAGGCACCTCGTGCAATGTTGCAAATCTTTGAGTCGCTCAACACGGGCGTCACTATCAGGAAAATTAGGGCAGTTGTACATTGAATGTTTCTCATTGCAGAACAAACATGTTCCATAGCTTCCAGTACCCTTTGGTGTCACGTTCTTGGATGACACAGTAACTATAGGCTTGGAGGGTCCCACTGCATATACGCCCACACTGCTACTGTTCCACTTTGGTGTTGAATTATATTGTCTAGATTGATTTGGAGTACCTTTGGTACTCTGTGGTTTACTATTATTGGTTTCTGAGGGTTTACTTGGTGGTTTTAATTTGTCATGTGTTCGTAATTGATGAACTACTGACTTTAAACCTTCAGATATTTCATTCATGGATAAGATGCTTTTATTGTAATGAGCACTCATTTGTCTCAATATGTCCCTAGGTATTTTCTCCTGGACAATTATTTTCAAGACCCACTCAGCCCCGTTTGTATCTGCTGTCAGGCTGAGGGCATTGATCAATGATTCTACCTCCAGCTTGAATACTTGGAGTGAATCAGCTGAAGCCTCCGGTGGGGGTAAATGCAACAGCTCATGAACTAAATGTGATGTTCTTACTTCTGGATCAGCATAATTATCCTTGAGGAGTTTTACTGCCAGATCATAGCCGTCATTAGTTAATCTCAGATGGGATACTACTGTTTTAGCCTCACCTGATAATTGGCCTTGCAAATAAGAGAATTTACTACTCTTTGGTAAAGATTGTTTTGAGTCTACAAGGTCAACGAATTTGTTCCAAAATTCGTCCCAATCTTCCTCATCTTTTCCTGAGAAAGTGGGTAAATTAATTGGAGGGAGTCGAGCTTCTGCTTGACTCGTATTAGATGCAACTGTTGTTGTTGTTGCTGTTGCCTTGTTCTGGGCAATTAATTTGACATAAGGCTGTAACGTGGCCTGAGTGTGATCTTCATAATTCGCAAGATCAACCATAATGTCGTCTATTTCTGTTTCTGATAAATTAGTGTTGGCAAGTTCAGCCACATATGTTGCTATTTGGCATTTGATTTGCTCAAATTTACCTGCAGCTGCTTGATAATAGCTTTCCAGGTCAGCATAATCAACTGTTGATTGTTGTGACAAATCTTCACATTTCTTGATCTGTCTTGTTAAGTGGCCTTTAAGACCTGCAAGGGTTCTTTTCATTCTCCCTGCATTATCCATACTAGCTAGTTGGTAAAACCTTGTGGGACTTGTACTTGGGCTGCTCATAATACTGAACAAACACTAATGGTAGCCTAGGGTAAATTCTGAACTCACTAGGCAATAATCCTACCTCTACTAGAGGTTAGCACTTAAAATTAATACACATTATATATATACAATCATACACACTAATGATTTGAGTGATAAACCAGTGTCACTGGAAGTACCTTTAGGTTAGCTCTTCTATATCACCCTAGGATGGTAGAGACACTAATTAATCACTCAAAGGTGTAATGATCATAAGTAAATTATTATATATACAACTCAATTCGAGTTGATAAAAATTACACCCAAAATAGGGTTTGCACCTTTCATTAATGGTGTTAGGTTGTTCAATATAGTACAACTGACTATAGTAATAATGGGACTAGGATGAACAATAATAGTTCAACTAGTCAATGGTAATATCCTACCCTGTTGTGGGTTGGCAATTAGTAAATATTATACTGTGATCACTAGTGCAATATATATTAAATGATTCTCTATTTGGAGAAATAATATACACAATTATTGATAATAGCCTCTTAATTAGCCTCTATGAAACTTCTAATATTATCTAGAAGTATTAAATGTTATTAGTGACCTCGCGAAATAAAGTCCACAAAATTCGTGGATAATCTCTCGCGAAATGTAACACCACGAAATCCGTGAACAATATCGCGAAGACACAGTCACTAATTAGGCTGGCTTCTATATTAGCGCTGTCATTTCACGAAATAACACGCCACCAAATATCTGTGGGTGTGCATGAAACCGCTGACGAAGCTGAACTGGGCTGAGGGAGGCTCCTGAGCTCCCACGAGGCAACGCCGCTGTCTATGACTGGCTGGCTTTGTTTAAATCACACTGCACTAGTTTATTTAATGAATCCACTGGTTAACTGGTTCATCCGGTACTAAGATGACCAAATGTGGGTTCATAGGACCAAATATTCCGGTTCCGAAGGTCCAAATAATGTGGGAACCGACCTGTGAGATTTATATTTATTTAATTTATATGAATTTATATTTACGTTAATTTATATACTTCGATAGCAATTTGTATAATGATAAGTGGACTGTATTTCTGCAATAATCTCATAATCTCACAAATCGATCCTCTACACATTAGGGGGGGTTTATTAGTTTATATATATGCAGCCAATCAAACTACAGTAATAGCTACATACATTGATGAGGTTCCTTATCTTATAGTACAGCAGGTTAGTCCACCAGGTATAACTAGGGTGTAGACACCAAATTATCCTCTTTGAGGTAGCTTCCATATCACCCAGTAACTGGTGCACAAATCTTCCTTCCTCGTCTTGACCTGTCAAAAGTGCGCTAGCTGTGAAGCCAGAATCCTATATATGACAAGCTATATCAGAGAAAACACTATACATTACATGGAACATGAAGACCTGGCTTAATTACCTTTAGTTTGAGGCGATTTCGCGATCTAACCGGGTCACCCTATATCCTGACATTAATGGCCATAAATGAATGATAAACGGGTTTCGGATAGACTTAACTTGAATTGTAGACATCGTGTTGGAGATGGTACCTTTGGTTTCCATAACACTACGTCCAAATAAAATTAACAGGAGCCGAATTTGCTCCCGTGTGAGCCTCTGGTCTCAATATAAACAATGCTGTTTAACACTCCATTCTATTGACGTTACTGGCCGACATTGTCCAGAATGATAGGAGCCGAATTTGCTCCACACGTCTCGGAGGTGACACAACAATGGCTGCCCTCCTCCTCACTCTGACGCCTGGCTTACATTGTCCACTTGTCAAAAAGTGATAGAAGGGTCACATTTACTCTACTTTAATATTGATAATTAAGTTAATTTATATAAGATGTTTTTACGATGGTAAAGTCCAAAGACTAATGTATTTAAGAATAATTCCCAGCAGAATAGCTGGTGAATTATAATAGTATGTGGTGATGATATCCCGTTTTCTATAGACGGTAATTCCACTACAAGTTACGTTTTCTATGGGTAACTTGTTGGTAATACAGCTATTATCTGTATGATTATTAAATGGTGTCGGATTTTCCGACAGTAGTTGGTAACTGTGAGACCACATTGCTCTTCCTTGGCTGCCATACAATCACATGTGTCTGTCTGTCAAGGCTGACCTGCTCAGAATGCTGCTTGACGCATACGACTCTAACCGACTGGCTTGCTAACCTGAACGAACCTGTATAAGAATACACTAATCAGAGAGAGCAGCAGCGGCATTGGTCTATCCCTTGATTCCTTGTCAGACTTTGCGTGACATCACTGGGTGAACTGACATGGGATTGCAGCCAAGTACTGACATAGATGTCAGGCTTCGACCTGAACATCTTGTTCAACTCTGGCGTCCTGTCAACGCCATCCATGATGACAGCATTATGTACATTATTGTACATTGTACATTAATGATTCTCTGAACTTGTAACATAAGCCGAGAATGTATGGTGACCATTGTACAGTAACTAGACTCTAGGGGAGAACTTCTGTGTCTTCAGAGACACCCAAGGTGATGGGAGTCGGAGCGGAATTAACGCTATTGGTGTCCTGGCTCACCTTAAGCGCACAAGTCACCGCGCATCTGGGGTGTGCACCTTAGCTGAGATATACCAACTTACTCACGGAGACACGGGCACACAGGGAGATATACAGAAAGAGACAGAAAAGACACACAGCCAGAGACACATACATATTGCGTAATATACATAGACAGAAAGAGACAGAGACTTTGAGACACCTTTTAAATTGTTATCGAAGATCAGTTCTACTAAAAAAATAATTCTCATTGATTTAATATTTCGTTTAAGACCCAACACCACTTCTCAGTCCCCTTGGTTCTATGTATCCTCAACTACCCTTAATTCTATGTATCCTCATCTCCCCCTTAGTTCTATATATCCTGACCATAAAGCAGGAAAAACCAGTCAAGTTGGAAGTGTCAACATGGCAAATAAAGGTTTAATTTTGCTCCTCCTGCTCCTGCTCCTCCAGGCTGTCAAGTGCATGACCACCAGCGGCACCAGCATCTCCCTCCTGGCGTACACTGCCATCTTCATACTGCCGCTGCTGCTTATTTCTTTCATCCCCAACATCAAGGTGAGTTTGTCATAGTTTACCCTGAATTTATCTTTGGGAGGGGAGGGGGGGGTCAGTAGGGGCCTCGGCCAGGACGTGACACCCTGAGGGCCACCATCACTAGTAGCTTAGACGGGGATAGGAACTTGAGGTTACCTTGAGGTGCTTCCGGGGCTTAGCGTCCCCGCGGCCCGGTCGTCGACCAGGCCTCCTGATTGCTGGACTGATCAACCAGGCTGTTGGACGCGGCTGCTCGCAGTGTAACAAGAGAGCAGTACATAGTACATGAACATCATAACAGCATGAACAGGCCACGTGGAGGATGAACAACCCACAGGCGCCAGTCAGGCGACGGCAGACAATGTAAAAGTTACACCTCTGTATAAGTTAGCCATAGAGTCAGGTCAACGGTCATCGAATCACAAAGAGGTCAGAATTGATGCCGTCATGGTAATCTTCAGGGATTAACCCCTAAACAACAAATGCAAAACCCTCATGTTCAGCTGAGGAGCAGTAGATCAGGAGAGTCAGTTGAGTGGGCACAGCCCAGTAGGGAGGTGTGTGTGGACTCTGGGAAAGAACATCATCTCCAGGGAAACTGTGGAACAACATACGAGTAAGTACGGCTCTCTTGTACTAAAGCACCTCATTCAGTACCCTTGGCCTCTAGTAGGGAATATAGTTAGGGAGTGTCTTATTTAATTATTTCAAATAAAGTCAGATATTAAGTGTTATTAAATGTGTATTAATGGTTCCTTGCTTTAGTGATATTGGGCCTACCGTCCCCTTTGCCCTAGTGACCTAGTGCTCTTAATTATTCAGTACTCCTCCCCCCGTTCGTCTTCCGTGTTGAGGTATTAGTGTTGGTGTGTCCCGCCTTATTCTTGTGTACACTATAGTTCCCAAGTGGTCAGGATTATTCGAGTGTCAGGCCAGGATCCTTGTACCGTTCAATTGTCCCCTACACCTGTCCTGGTTTGGTTACTCCATCTGCAAGACCTACGACTCTCACTCCGGTCCCCTGTCCGGTAACTCAGGGTGGTGGCAGCGTCACTCGGTAACTCATACGATAGGTTGTGACTACGATTATCTCTATCTTTCTGTCTCACTCTCCCTCACTAGTGTCTCACTCTCCCTCGCCCTCACTCGCTCTCGTTCTCCCTCCCTTGCTCTCGTTCTCGCTCTCCTCTCTCTCTCCTCTCGCTCTGCCTCCCTCTTCCTCTCTCTCCTTCCTCTGTGTACTGGTTTACGTCTTCGTATGACGGCCCGAGTGTTAACATCTTATATGATCGGTATAGCATCTGTTATTACCATAGAAAGAGCGGAGATTGCACGGTTAGCTCAGTGGTAGTAGCGGAGTGCGCGGTCGAGATAGATACAAGGCGAGGTATCATTGTAATGACCCTGAATGTAATAATACCTCGCCTTGTATCTATCTCGACCGCGCACTCCGCTACTACCACTGAGCTAACCGTGCAATCTCCGCTCTTTCTATGGTAATAACAGATGCTATACCGATCATATAAGATGTTAACACTCGGGCCGTCATACGAAGACGTAAACCAGTACACAGAGGAAGGAGAGAGAGAGGAAGAGGGAGGCAGAGCGAGAGGAGAGAGAGAGGAGAGCGAGAACGAGAGCAAGGGAGGGAGAACGAGAGCGAGTGAGGGCGAGGGAGAGTGAGACACTAGTGAGGGAGAGTGAGACAGAAAGATAGAGATAATCGTAGTCACAACCTATCGTATGAGTTACCGAGTGACGCTGCCACCACCCTGAGTTACCGGACAGGGGACCGGAGTGAGAGTCGTAGGTCTTGCAGATGGAGTAACCAAACCAGGACAGGTGTAGGGGACAATTGAACGGTACAAGGATCCTGGCCTGACACTCGAATAATCCTGACCACTTGGGAACTATAGTGTACACAAGAATAAGGCGGGACACACCAACACTAATACCTCAACACGGAAGACGAACGGGGGGAGGAGTACTGAATAATTAAGAGCACTAGGTCACTAGGGCAAAGGGGACGGTAGGCCCAATATCACTAAAGCAAGGAACCATTAATACACATTTAATAACACTTAATATCTGACTTTATTTGAAATAATTAAATAAGACACTCCCTAACTATATTCCCTACTAGAGGCCAAGGGTACTGAATGAGGTGCTTTAGTACAAGAGAGCCGTACTTACTCGTATGTTGTTCCACAGTTTCCCTGGAGATGATGTTCTTTCCCAGAGTCCACACACACCTCCCTACTGGGCTGTGCCCACTCAACTGACTCTCCTGATCTACTGCTCCTCAGCTGAACATGAGGGTTTTGCATTTGTTGTTTAGGGGTTAATCCCTGAAGATTACCATGACGGCATCAATTCTGACCTCTTTGTGATTCGATGACCGTTGACCTGACTCTATGGCTAACTTATACAGAGGTGTAACTTTTACATTGTCTGCCGTCGCCTGACTGGCGCCTGTGGGTTGTTCATCCTCCACGTGGCCTGTTCATGCTGTTATGATGTTCATGTACTATGTACTGCTCTCTTGTTACAGCAGCCTGGCGTATGAATCGCAGCCTGGTTGATCAGGTATCCTTTGGAGGTGCTTATCCAGTTCTCTCCTGAAGCCAAAGGTTTCCCTACCACCTCACCACCCACTGTTTCAGAGGAATTTTACAGTTGAATTTTAAACTAAATAACCCACCTGAGCCCCTCTTGATGCACCTGCACCTTGCCCACCAGTACCTGGCGCCGGTGTCCATGATGGCAGGAGTGATCCAGATAGCAGGCATCATCATATGTTTCTACTACATGGTGAGGGACCTTCCTCACATCCACGAGGACCTCCCTGCCTTCGCCGGATGGTCGACCCTGCCTCTCTACTTCGGCACTGCTATCTACTCTTTCGAGGGTATCGGACTGGTGAGTACCAAGTGTGGGGGTGGGTAGTGTGTGGGCACCAAGTGTGGGGGTGGGTAGTGACGAAGTCCCTAACCTGGTATATACACGTAGAAGACCAACGGTCAAATATAGAGTTTCTTTACGCGTTAGATCGAGACTTGGGCCTTACAGAAGTCCTTGACAGTAATACCAACTTTAAATGTCATAAAATTTCAAACTAGTTCCTCAACATGGTAACTCCAAATGCCTTCCTGGGAATTTATGCAACGTCTGTAAAGTACACAGAGCCTAGAAATGAGCCTCGACCCTTATCCTAGCATGTGATTGATCAGAGTAGTTAACATGACCTGGGATCGAACCCTGGCTCTCAAAGAGCTTGACTAGTCCCTCTGTGAAGCAGGTGTCTCAAACTTCTCAACCAAGTAAGAATTAGGTCCGATAATGGGTGTTGCTATAAGAACGACCCGAGAACTTTCCACTTGAGTGGGAGCCTTTGATGCCAATAAGCAGAGTGGAAGATAAACACAGAAACTTTCCTTTCGTGAAGCAACTTCAGGGATGAGCAATAAGCATTTAACAAGGCTTTATAATCTCGTTGTCAGGAAAGTTTCCTGAAGGTGGACTTAGTGGAGACCTGATCAAGGACCGGGCCGCGGGGACGCTAAGCCACGAAATCATCTCAAGATATATGATACCTATCTCAAGATAGGTCGAGAGGCAGAGGCGACACAATCTTCAGTATAATAGAACATATAACGTTAATAGGGAACGTATGCACAGCAATACGCAATATAAAGACTCTTTTATATCAAACTGTCCACAATTTACCCTCTTGAAATTTCTGCTTTGCAATCACTGGTCGTGGAACCAAATAACAATTACAGAAACCTAACCTAAACTAACCTAACCTAGAGTTAACAAACTGTAATCCGGACCTATATGTATATACACAGCGAGAAATGCGGCACATCTCTCAGAGTACATACCTTGGTCGTCTGACAACGGCTGTTCATGACATGTTTTCCTACACTGGTGTTTTGCCATCAAAGAATCAACCCGCATTCCATTTCCTATTCTTTTCTCTGCACCACTAGGTACTGCCGCTGGAGAACAAGATGAAGACCCCGGGAGCATTTGGGGGACTCAGCGGTGTCCTCAACACAAGCATGTTGATCGTGATGTGTCTGTTTGCTTCCTTCGGCTTCTTTGGCTACCTCCAGTACGGCAGCACTGTCCAGGGGTCCATCACTCTCAACCTTCCCGCCAGCGACCCGTGAGTTTTGCCGCTAGCGAGCGGTAACTCTGCTAGAAGTGCACACTACTACAGTTTAGGATGGCCTGTTGCATCTTGGCCACAGTTTTCCCGGCTTGGCTCCTTCTTTTGATAATTACTTATGTTTTGCATGCTGGGAAGGTAGAGTCATGCTGGAACATGTTCTCCGTTATTGGGTACATGTTGCTTGCTCCTGGACTTGTTAATGGGGTTTAGGATGTGATTTAAGGTGTGATTTTCACCCCATGAACCGCAGTAACATAGTTTAAATACATGGACTGGATTAGTGGAGCTCAAGTCCACTACGGGCTCCCTAACCCGTGCTACTTGGAACTTTTGTTCCGAGAAGCTGAATCTAAAGCAGCATAGTGTAGTAGGTCTCCAAACACTAAAACTTAATCCATCAGTTCCCTAAGAGTCTGTACCATTCGCTTCGTTCAGAGTTTCATCAACATATGACCTTCACGTCTGTCCAAGCCCTGGTTTAGCCATGGCTGTAGCTAACGGAAATTCTTCGCTTGTCTCCCTATCTCCCTACATAACTGCCTGTGCATGGAGGACAGACTGGCGGAGGCGGTGAAGATCGCGATGGCGCTGTCCGTGCTCCTGACCTACCCGCTGCAGATGTATGTACCCTTCGAGATACTGATCCCCTCCGTCACCAGGCGGTTCACCACCAAGAAGGGCAAGCTGGTGGCTGAGTACGCCTTCAGGACCGCAATGGTTCTCCTGACCTGTAAGTTTACCTTTATTCATGTAAACCTCATAAATCTAAACCTAGATTATACAGTATATAGTCTCGCTTGTACAGTCGGGTTCCTTCTCGAATCACAATCTGGATCTCTGGAATTGAATCCAGGGGCTGGACACAAAGGGTTGGGCGCGTTTTCTATTACTTAATGCACATGTTCACCAAGCAGTAAATGGATACCAGGAGTTGGTCAGCTTGTCGTGGGGTGGCATCCTGGGAAGGGTTAGATTCGACACTGGGGGGAACCTCGATATCCTAACATATATATATGTTATATGCAACTGAAATATATATATATATATATATATATATATATATATATATATATATATATATATATATATATATATATATATGTCGTACCTAGTAGCCAGAACGCACTTCTCAGCCTACTATGCAAGGCCCGATTTGCCTAATAAGCCAAGTTTTCCTGAATTAATATATTTTCTCTAATTTTTTTCTTATGAAATGATAAAGCTACCCATTTCAGTATGTATGAGGTTAATTTTTTTTTATTGGAGTTAAAATTAACGTAGATATATGACCAAACCTAACCAACCCTACCTAACCTAACCTAACCTATCTTTATAGGTTAGGTTAGGTAGCCGAGAAAGTTAGGTTAGGTTAGGTAAGTTAGGTCGTCCAAAAACATTAATTCATGAAAACTTGGCTTATTAGGCAAATCGGGCCTTGCATAGTAGGCAGAGAAGTGCGTTCTGGCTACTAGGTACGACATATATATATATATATATATATATATATATATATATATATATATATATATATATATATATATATATGTCGTACCTAATAGCCAGAACGCACTTCTCAGCCTACTATTCAAGGCCCGATTTGCCTAATAAGCCAAGTTTTCATGAATTAATGTTTTTTCGTCTACCTAACCTACCTAACCTAACCTAACCTAGCTTTTTTGGCTACCTAACCTAACCTTACCTATAAATATAGGTTAGGTTAGGTTAGGTAGGGTTGGTTAGGTTCGGTCATATATCTACGTTAATTTTAACTCCAATAAAAAAAAATTGACCTCATACATAGAGAAAAGGGTTGCTTTATCATTTCATGAGAAAAAAATTATAGTAAATATATTAATTCAGGAAAACTTGGCTTATTAGGCAAATCGGGCCTTGAATAGTAGGCTGAGAAGTGAGTTCTGGCTACTAGGTACGACATATATATATATATATATATATATATTATATATATATATATGTCGTACCTAGTAGCCAGAACGCACTTCTCAGCCTACTATGCAAGGCCCGATTTGCCTAATAAGCCAAGTTTTCCTGAATTATTATACTTTCTCTAATTTTTTTCTTATGAAATGATAAAACTACCCATTTCATTATGTATGAGGTCAATTTTGTTTTATTGGAATTAAAATTAACGTAGATATATGACCGAACCTAACCAACCCTACCTAACCTAACCTAACCTAACTTTACAGGTTAGGTTAGGTTAGGTAGCAGGAAATGTTAGGTTAGGTTAGGTTAGGTAGGTTAGGTAGTCGAAAAATCATTAATTCATGAAAACTTGGCGTATTAGGCAAATCGGGCCTTGCATAGTAGGCTGAGAAGTGCGTTCTGGCTACTAGGTACGACATATATATATATATATATATATATATATATATATATATATATATATATATATATATATATATATATATATATATATATATATATATATATAGTTAAAAAAAGCCTTAACGAACTCCTAACTCCATACACTCCAAGCAAGTATAGTCTACAATCATCAGCAGATTTCCTAGAATTAATCAACTCAGTCACTACTCAGCCCGATGGAATCATTGCTTCCCTGGACGTTGAATTCCTATTTACCAACGTCCCAGTCGACACAACCATAGGAATGATACTGGACAGAGTATACAGAGACGAGAGCACCCCCAAATTAGACATACCCGAGCCACACTTGAAGAGTCTTCTCGAGGCATGTACAAAGGAAGCCCCTTTCATCAGTCCACAAGGAGACATGTATCTACAAACAGACAAAGTAGCAATGGGCTCCCCCTTAGGAGTGTTATTTGCTAATTTTAACATGGGAACCATCGAAGACAGAGTCTTCAGTAGCAGACAAAAAAACTGTATACTGCTGTTGTGTAGATAACACATTCGTCAGAGTAAAAGACTCAGATGAACTAGTTGATCTAAAAAGCCATCTAGAGAGAGAGTCAGTACTCAGATTTAAACATGAAAATAGTGAAAATAACAGTCTGCTATTCTTGGATGTATTAATAACAAAAACAGTAGCCTCTTTAAGCACCAACGTATATACTAAGCCCACCAACATAGGATTATGGCTGAATGGTAAGAGTGAGTGCCCCCAAAGATACAAAGTCAGTGTTCTCAATGCTTATATTCGTCGAGCGCTTACACACTGCTCCGAAAGTGAGTAGAGAGTTTGAAAGAATAACTCAGGTATTGGTGAACAATGGAAATAGCAATAACAATAGCAGCCGGCTTCCCGTCCTCGTCGAGGCCACTAGACAGATACTATCCTCCTGGTAAATCCAGGTAAAGGACAGACAGACATAGACACCAAGACAGTAGAGAAACAGAGATAGAATTATATAAAGGAGTCTGGTCCCGGTTGGACATTCGTATTCGTTTTCGTCACACAATCTGGAATTCCAGGTTCGATTCCCGGGCGGGACAGAAATGGTTGGGCACATTTCCTATCACCTAATAGGACTGTTCACCCAGAAGCAAGTAGGTACTTAGGAGTTAGTCAGCTTGTGAAGGGTTGAATCCTGGGGAGGGTTAGTAGTTCAAATTAGGGGGAACATCGATATAAGTTTAATTTCGTGTATATTTACTGGCTGCCTGTCCCTCGACAAAATTAATTACTAATCATAATGACAAACAATGTATTTGAGTTACCCCAAAAATCTTTTTATACGTTTTCTGAAAATCATATAATGGTCCATTTTCTTTCACATATTAATCATTAAGTAAGGAGAGACTACTAAAATATTTACAATAAAAAAAAAATCATGTCATCAAGGACACCATGTACCTACATACACCTACCTGAGGTCACCTACTGATAACATCCCCATCTTGGTCTCTGCGAACAGTCGTGTTGGCAGCATCCATCCCTAACATTGGGTTGTTCATCTCCCTGGTCGGAGCCGTGAGCAGCTCCACCCTCGCCTTGATCTTCCCTCCAATCATTGAGCTGGTGACCTTCTGGCCCAATACTGGAAGATGCCACTGGGTCCTCATCAAGGTGAGATATTAGGGCCACTGGGTCCTCATCAAGGTGAGATATTAGGGCCACTAGGTCCTCATCAAGGTGAGATATTAGGGCCACTGGGTCCTCATCAAGGTGAGATATTAGGGCCACTGGGTCCTCATCAAGGTCAGGTATTAGGGCCACTGGGTCCTCATCAAGGTCAGGTATTAGGGCCACTGGGTCCTTATCAAGGTGAGATATTAGGGCCACTGGGTCCTCATCAAGGTGAGATATTAGGGCCACTGGGTCCTCATCAAGGTGAGATATTAGGGCCACTGGGTCCTCATCAAGGTGAGATATTAGGGCCACTGGGTCCTCATCAAGGTCAGGTATTAGGGCCACTGGGTCCTCATCAAAGTCAGGTATTAGGGCCACTGGGTCCTCATCAAGGTCAGGTATTAGGGCCACTGGGTCCTCATAGTGGAGAGAAAATAGGGACAATGTTTCCAATCAAAATCAATATAACATACGGATAAAGTAAATGCAGAAGGAACATTGGCCCCAATCAGGCAGCTCCTATTTACACCCAGCCATTTTCTTTCCTATTTTGTTTAAACGACTAAACTACCTTTCTATTACAATATTTCATAGTATCCCTTTACATTCTTTTAAACAAATGTTTACCTAATTATATTTTCTATCTGTAAATTAACTGTTATAATTCAGCAGGAAGAGAAACGAACGTTGGCTCCACATGGCGTTTATTACAACAACAAACAGTGACGTCACTGGGTATAGGTTACATGACATACTATTTACAATGATTATAAAACAAACGAGCATCTGCTCAAAACATTATGCACCTAACCTATGTAGCACTTATTCATACAAAATACCTTAATCCTAACATTACTTTTTAATTAAACTCTACCCCTACAGGTTATTAAGTCTATAAGGCGGTCGTATGACTCTTCCTGATTTTCTCAACTTGGGTTCCAGGCTTGTTACTTCTGGGAAACCTTCTTCTGAATTACAACTGTCGAGTCTCTAGGGTTAGCTGTATCCCCATTACCCTCTGCTGTCCCTTGCTGTGCCTCCCTGTCTCCTACAGGTGCTGCCACCCCTTCATTACTAGATATATACAAGAGTTGTTACATTCTTGTACAGCCACTAGTACGCGTAGCGTTTCGGGCAGGTCCCTGGAATACGATCCCCGCCGCGAAGAATCGTTTTTTCATCCAAGTACACATTTTACTGTTGCGTTAAACAGAGGCTACAGTTAAGGAATTGCGCCCAGTAAATCCTCCCCGGCCAGGATACGAACCCATGACATAGCGCTCGCGGAACGCCAGGCGAGTGTCTTACCATTACACCACGGAGACTGTGTGACGTATTATTAGCATGGGTATCACTAGTTGCCCCAAGGGAGCCGGTCGGCCGAGCGGACAGCACACTGGACTTGTGATCCTGTGGTTCTGGGTTCGATCCCAGGCGCCGGCGAGAAGCAATGGACAGATTCTTTCACACTATGCCCCTGTTACCTAGCAGTAAAATAGGTACCTGGGTGTTAGTCAGCTCTCACGGGCTGCTTCCTGGGGGTGGAGGCCTGGTCGAGGACCGGGCCGCGGGGACACTAAAGCCCCGAAATCATCTCAAGATAACCCCCACCTGAAGGGTCTTCAAAATTCCCCGTGAACCTTGGCATGAGTTGATCTGCATGTCTTTTTTCAATTAATGTTCCTAAAACTCTGCACTTGCACAGTGAAATTTATGCATGCGGCCCAATACATCCATAATTTTACCTTCTACCCAAGGCTTAGTAGTTCCAAAATTACTTGCATGTACTGCATTCCCCTCGTTAAACAACAATTCCTCTCCCTGAGCCGACTGATTGGCCAAGCTAGTTACAGATTTATCTTTATCTAGATATGTTTTACTGCTTCCATGTGCACTTTAAAGTGCCTATTAAACAGTAATTCAGAAGGAGATTTACCAGTGGTAGAATGACCAGTTTTTCTATGATTATACAAACATCTGCAAAGCTTTGTATTAACAGTACCTTCCGTGAACCGCTGTAACCCTTCTTTTAAGGATCTCTGCTCTCTCAGCCAGACCATTTGAAGGATTATAGGGGGCAGGTGTTACATGTTTAATACCATTCTTTCTAACAAAAATCCTCCATTTCCCCTGAAACAAAATAAGGATCATTATCTGACACAACCATGTCTGGCAATCCAAAATTACAAAATGTTTTCCTTAGGAGTTCACAAGTTACAGATGATGTGGTGGAATTACACACATGAACATCCAGAAATTTGGTGTATGAATCCATCACCACGAGGTAATATTTGTTATCCACAGGTCCAGCATAATCTATAAGAAGTCTAGACAAGGGTTTTTCAGTGCTGGGCCAGGAAAGTACTGAGGCTTCGGATTTCTGATAATTCTTAAAACAAATGTGACAATTCTTAGTTACTTCTGCAATACCCTGGTCCATTTTTGGCCACCAAACCAAACTTCTAGCTTCTGCTCTCATAGCATTTATGCCATTATGGCCTACATGCAGCTGTTCCAAAATCTTACATCTCAGTTCTATACAAGTTCTATACAATTCTATACACCACTCTATTCCTATACAAGAGTACATCCTGGTGAATACTAAGGTCAGCCTTCACTGCAGCATACTCTGACAATAATAAATTATCATTCCAACCATATCTGACTAACTTCATTAACATATTTAATTTGAGAACTCTACTAGTTGCCATCCTAATAGTCTGGAAGGATATATCCTCAAAAGACATAGATTCTACCAGATTAACATATTCCACTGGAATTCAATGCCTTCTGTCACAGGCAATCTACTTAATGCATCAGCTACTACATTATCCTTGCCTGACTTAAACTCTAAATCATACTCAAACTATGAGAGTAGTAATGCCCATCTTTAAATTCTAGCATTAGCATTAACTGGAATTTGTTTACCTCTGCCAAACAATCCTAGCAGGGGTTTATGGTCTGTTCTAGCAAGAAATTTCCTCCCCAGCAGAAAATACCTCAGTTTTTTACGGGGTATACCGAAGCTAAGGCTTCTTTATCTAATTGGGAATAATTCTGTTCTGCAGGAGATAATTTCTTGCTAGCAAAATATACTACTTTATTCTGACCATCTTCTTCCTGTAATAATACACACCCCACTCCTACTGGGGAAGCATCTACTGTACCTCCAGTTTTGGAGTCTATGAGCAAAATTAGTGAGCACTGGAGAATTGATCAACTCCTGCTTAATATTCCTGAAGGCATTCTCCTCTCTTGCTGCCCACTTAAATCTAGCCCCTTTTTTCAATAATTAATACAAGGGCGATAATTTTGTTGAAAGGTTCTTCACGAACTTACAAAAATATGTTACCATCCCAACAAAAGACTGTACTTCCCCCACTGATGCTGGGGCATCTATTATAGCAGCTACATTTTTGTGAGGAGTAAAGCCCTTACCTGAAATATGATACCCCAGGTATTCAATGGCCTTGGTCTTCAATGTCATTTATAATTGGGAGTATGAGGTTCTTGCTGTCGATCTTCCAGGAGAAGTTTGTCGATTGCTTGAAGAGCAGACTTTGAATCACAAAATATTATTCCTCCTCCAATGTTTTTTAATGTACTGGTAGCTAGTTGTAATGCTGCTAGTTCTGCTTGTGTGGAGGTCAGCCAGTTGTTTAACCTGACACTGACAGTCTTTGTGCAAATATTATTTCTATAAAACCTACATGCCGCTGCAGTCCGTCCAGTAGAGGATTGGACTGAGCCGTCGGTGTAGACACAGTGCTCGTGAGATCTTAAACTCTCGATGGAGGAGGCAATTGTTTCAAGTGTGAGAGCTTACACACTCACACACAGTTGTCTAAATTCTTCCTCCCGTCCGTCACCTGGTATAGGTTACATGACTTACTATTTACAATGATTATAAAACAAACGAGCATCTTCTCATAACATTATGCACCTAACCTATGTAGCACTTAGTCATACAAAATACCTTAATCCTAACAGTAACAATTTGAATTCAATGTTTTTGAGTTCTTTCATTCGTGTTTTTCAGATTCCCAATAACATATCCAATTGCCAGTTTGTCCACTAGTTATGTGACCCATTTACACACCGTTTATAATGAGAAAATTGAGTGTCTTCACATGCCACTGTACACTAACAACCTTGGCACCTCCTCAGAATGTGCTCATCTGCGCGTTTGGTCTGGTGGGCTTCGCCACTGGCACAGTCAGCAGCATCCAGAGCATCATTGACTTCATGGTTAATGGGCAGAAACAGCTCCCCCCAGCCTGCTAGGCTTACCCCGGGGGTCTGAAGTCTCTCACCCCAGGGGGGCTGAAGTCTCTCACCCCGGGGGTCTGAAGTCACTCACCCCAGGGGGGCTGAAGTCTCTTACCCCGGGGGCCTGAAGTCACTCAACCGGGGGGCCTGAAGTCTCTTACCTCGGGGGTCTGAAGTCACTCGCCCCGGGGGACTGAAGTCACTCAACCGGGGGGCCTGAAGTCTCTTACCTCGGGGGTCTGAAGTCACTCACCCCGGGGGACTGAAGTCACTCATCCCGGGGGGGGCTGAAGTCACTCACCCCGGGGGCCTTAAGTCGCTTGCCCCGGTGAGGGGCCTGAAGTCACTCATCCCGGGCCTGAAGTCACTTACCCCGGTGAGGGGCCTGAAGTCACTCATCCCGGGGGCTTGAAGTCGTCAGGCCAGAACTCGCTCATAAGGCTCCTTGGTCATCACCTTCTGACATCCTTTAAAAAGGGAGAGGTGGATAGAACCTATTGGACATAAAGCTAAGAAATCGTTGGACAAATGCTAAAGACATCCTGGACACCGATGTCACTCACTGGACTAATGATGGTATTACAAATCAGAAGAACTTATATTACAATACTCAAAAATATCATTACATAATGGTATTGTGTAATAAAATTATATGGAATTTATATTCTAGATTTTACATTAACAATGTATTTATTACAAAAATATACCAGATCTTTTAACTTTTTGTTTTCAACTTTACTCAAAATTCCTTGTGCACTGTTATTAAGAACTATGTTATCCTTACTATTGATGATGGTGTGGGGGGGGAGGGGGGAACTCTCCATGATATAATGTATAATGATATATATATAGTAAATATAGTATATATATAGCTGATATAATAGTAAAGTAAGTAATTGATTTCAATAAATATTAGAGAAGTGGACTGTAAAAACTCCTTAATGTTACTTGGATTATTTTCCGTGCACACTTTAAGTGGGTAAACCCAATAATGCTGGAACTACCTACTGCACATAAATGTTGAAATAATTTCAATAATATATTTCATTAATTAACCAAGTTATAGAGTTAGTAGGCTAACTACAATATTATGACAAGAAATAAAATCTTAGCTGTCAGGCAGTTATTGTAGAATGCGTCAGACAGGGCGATCCTCTCTCTCGTATATAAACTTCCCTCTGTGATAATCATACTCTGTAATTCCTATATGACTACGAGTATATCCACTAACACTCACTGAAACGGCGTTGACTGATTAAGGGAAACACACTTACTGGAGTTATTTGATGATCTAGCGTCTTATCGATTGGGCAACCTATAACACGGGATTATGGCCATAAAACGTGAAAAAAGGTTACTCATCCAACCGGACGCGGTATCCTCAATAACAGATGAAGCTGCCTGCAAAGTCTGGGACCCGATAATGCTCGGATGGTCCGTATAACAGACGATGATAATGGTGAGCTTCGGGACACCGATCAAAGATGGCTTCTCTTCAGTTAATTCTCGGCAAGTGACCAGTCACCTGGCTCCCTCACTGTGCATCAACTCGGCATATAAGTCACGATAATTTATTCTGGTTTACTATCTGATTAAAGCATTGCCGACGTTATCTAACGTCATAATAACGCACTCCAAGTGTCAACAGACGATATTTCGCTGCGTGCATTATTAAACCGAAGTGTCGTTAGATAAACAAAGGATATATAGAGATAATATTCATTTCGTGATTTTTACCCAGCTGGAATCAGCGGATCGCAGTTGTGGAAAACTTTATCTAGAAACAGAAATATAGTTTGCTTTAATGAATTAAATCAATTTCCAGTCGATATTACCTCCTAAATTAAACAAAGGTTAGACTGGATTTGATTTATAAATAATTAATTATCATAGAATCTGGGCGGCTGATGTAACAGTGGCATTGATATTAGTAAGAATTTGGTTGCACTACGCTACTTGTTAGTAAGGTTAGTAAACTTTATTTCCTAGTTCAATAAATTTATCTTATCGTATTATAGGGGTTAGTAATTTAGGTGTCGGAAATTTCCGACAGATGGATTATCAATTTCTTTCTTTTCCAGGTGAATGTAAAATATATAAATTAGAATGTAAACTATATTATTATTATTATTATTATTATTATTATTATTATTATAATAATTGATGTTTCACACATTGTATATTCAATAAAGATGTCTTCTTTATGTGTTCTGTGTTTTAGGTTTGTTTTATTGCTGTACACTACACCTACTGTATACTATGACCACTGTACACTACACCTACTGTATACTGTGACCACTGTACACTACACCTACTGTATACTATGACCACTGTACACTACACCTACTGTATACGGTGACCACTGTACACTACACCTACTGTATACTATGACCACTGTACACTACACCTACTGTATACTGTGACCACTGTACACTACACCTACTGTATACTATGACCACTGTACACTACACCTACTGTATACTATGACCACTGTACACTACACCTACTGTATACTATCTTCACTGTACACTACACCTACTGTATACTATGACCACTGTACACTACACCTACAGTATACTATCTTCACTGTACACTACACCTACTGTATACTATCTCACTGTACACTGCACCTACTGTATACTATCTTCACTGTACACTACACCTACAGTATACTATCTTCACTGTACACTACACCTACAGTATACTATCTTCACTGTACACTACACCTACTGTATACTATCTTCACTGTACACTACACCTACTGTATACTATCTTCACTGTACACTACACCTACTGTATACTATCTTCACTGTACACTACACCTACTGTATACTATCTTCACTGTGCACTTCACCTACTGTATACTATATTCACTGTACACTACACCTACTGCATACTATCTTCACTGTACACTACACCTACTGTATACTATCTTCACTGTACACTACACCTACTGTATACTATCTTCACTGTACACTACACCTACTGTATACTATCTTCACTGTACACTACACCTACTGTATACTATCTTCACTGTACACTATACCTACTGTATACCAGCTTCACTGTACACTACACCTACTGTATACCAGCTTCACTGTACACTTCACCTACTGTATACTATCTTCACTGTACACTACACCTACTGTATAATATGCCCATTGTACACTACACCTACTGTATAATATGACCACTGTACACTACACCTACTGTATAATATGACCACTGTACACTACACCTACTGTATAATATGACCACTGTACACTACACCTACTGTATAATATGACCACTGTACACTACACCTACTGTATACTATCTTCACTGTACACTACACCTACTGTATACTATCTTCACTGTACACTTCACCTACTGTATACTATCTTCACTGTACACTACACCTACTGTATACTATGACCACTGTAAACTACACCCGCCGTACACAACACACAGAGTACATTACACCCACCATACAGTACACACAGCACACTACACTCACCGTAAACTACACCCAGTACACTACTCCCACCGTACACTACACCCAGTACACTACTCCCACCGTACACTACACTCACTGTACACTACACCCAGCACACTACACCCACCGTACACTACACACACTGTACACTACACCCACTACACTACACTCACCGTACACTACACCCAGCACACTACACTCACTATACACTACACCCAGCACACTACACTCACTGTACACTACACTCACCGTACACTACACTCAGCACACTACACCCAGCACACTACACTCACCGCACACTACACCCAGCACACTACACCCAGTACACTACACTCACTGTACACTACACCCAGCACACTACACTCAATGTACACTACACCCAGTACACTACACTCACTGTACACTACAACCAGTACACTACACTCACTGTACACTACACCCAGCACACTACACCCAGTACACTACACTCACTGTACACTACACCCAGCACACTACACTCACTGTACACTACACCCAGCACACTACACCCAGTACACTACACTCAATGTACACTACACTCACTGTACACTACACCCAGTACACTACACTCACCGTACACTACACTCAATGTACACTACACCCAGTACACTACACTCACTGTACACTACAACCAGTACACTACACTCACTGTACACTACACCCAGCACACTACACCCAGTACACTACACTCACTGTACACTACACCCAGCACACTACACTCACTGTACACTACACCCAGCACACTACACCCAGTACACTACACTCAATGTACACTACACTCACTGTACACTACACCCAGTACACTACACTCACCGTACACTACACTCAGCACACTACACTCACTGTACACTATACCCAGTCCACTACACCCAGTACACTACACTCACTGTACACTACACCCAGCACACTACACTCAATGTACACTACACTCACTGTACACTACACCCAGTACACTACACTCACCGTACACTACACTCAGCACACTACACTCACTGTACACTACATCCAGAACACTACACCCAGTACACTACACCCAGCACACTACATTCACCGTACACTACACCCAGTACACTACACTCACTGTACACTACACTCACTGTACACTATACCCAGTCCACTACACCCAGTACACTACACCCAGCACACTACACTCACTGTACACTACACCCAGTACACTACACCCAGCACACTACACTCACCGTACACTACATCCAGCACACTACACTCACTGTACACTACACCCAGCACACTACACTCACTGTACACTACACCCAGTACACTACACTCACTGTATACTACACCCAGCACACTACACTCACTGTACACTACACCCAGTACATTACACTCACTGTACACTACACCCAGCACACTACACTCAATGTACACTACACTCACTGTACACTACACCCAGTACACTACACTCACTGTACACTACACCCAGTACACTACACTCACTGTACACTACACCCAGCACACTACACTCACTGTACACTACATCCAGCACACTACACTCACCGTACACTACACCCAGCACACTACACTCACTGTACACTACACCCAGTACACTACACCCAGTACACTACACTACACCCAGCACACTACACTCACTATACACCACACCCAGTACACTACACCCAGAACATTACACTCACTATACACTACACCCAGCACACTACACTCACTGTACACTACACCCAGTACACTACACCCAGCACACTACACTCAATGTACACTACACCCAGCACACCACACTCACCGTACAATACACCCAGCACAGTACACTCACTGTACACTACACTCACCGTACAATACACCCAGCACAGTACACCCAGCACACTACACTCACTATACTACACCCAGCACACTACACCCAGCACACTACACTCACTGTACACTACACCCAGTACACTACACTCACTGTACACTACACTCACTGTACACTACACTCAGCACACTACACTCACTGTACACTACACTCACTGTACACTACACTCACTGTACACTACACTCACTGTACACTACACTCAGCACACTACACTCACTGTACACTACACCCAGCACATTACACTCACTGTACACTACACCCAGTACACTACACTCACTGTACACTACACCCAGCACACTACACTCACCTTACACTACTCTCAGCACACTACACTCACTGTACACTACACCCAGCACATTACACTCACTGTACACTACACCCAGTACACTACACTCACTGTA